GGCTGGCCCCAAGGGTCCTTTATTCCTAGGCCGCTGCTGCCCAGGAAATGAGCTCCAGACTTAGTGGGGGCTTAGGATTTAAACATTGCACTCTGAGTGCTGCCAGAGTGCTTATACAATTTGGGGTGCTGGGAGAAGGGCACTCTTAGGCATTGCCCAAATATTTTCTCTCAATAATGGATAGGAACCATCTAAATGACCAGCAGGAAAGACTTAGTAAAATAACCCCCTTTGGTAGGATACTGTGCCATCATTAACCAACCAGCCTGTAAAATAAGACTTAAGAATACGGGGAAATGCTCAAGCTATACATGAAAAGAATGAGATATTATCATTTTGATTAGAACATCATCCCAATTTTTTGGAGGGTGTATGTTTGCATAGAAAAGAACAGAAGGGAACCAGAGTGCCGAGACCCACTTGACTTCCAGTGGCCACCTGGTGCACGCTAGCCAGGCACCTAGAGGGTCCCTGAGTGGACCAGGTGGGAGATTAAGAAAGGAGAGAAATCAAGTGGAGAAGAAAGACACAGAGACAAAAGCTGGGATCAGGAGGGACACTCTGCCGCGGGTGGCGGAGAGTGACACCATTTATTAGTTACATACTGGTTATATAGAGAAAGCAATTTCCTCTTTGTAGGGATTAATTTCCTTAAGCATAGGGGATTTTGGCAGGGGGTTTTGGGGAATGAGGAACCAATGTTCCTTATGCAAAGTTTTGGAGGTCTGGAGAAACAATTTCTTCCAGCAACAAGTTACATTAAGCACTGCGTAGACCAAACTAAGCAAGGTTAAACTAAGGCAAATAGAAACTGTCAATAAGTCCATGGTGGAAAGTCCCAAAGCATCAGAGTCCATTATTAGAAAGTGCTTTTCGAGGGTCCGGTGGTTTCAGTTCCAGGGGACTTCTGCTTTTCCATGGCACAGGAGATGAGCTGGTCATTGCTGGGTCAGATGTCGCTCCAGAAGTTCCCTTTTTGCTGCTCACCCAACATGGAGTTTTGTAGCCTTTTCAGCACACAGGACATGGAGGCCTACAGCTTTCTCAGCTTGCAGCCTCACTGCTCTCAAATGGCTCCCAACATTGGAGGAGTGGCACATTGGTTAGGAGTTGGCTTAGGATGCCAGCTCTGAGCAGCAGGGCCCCGGTTCAGATCCCACATGAGGGCCAGTGACGCTGCGCTCTCTACAGCTAAGATGGTGAGCAACAGCTAGACCTGGAGCTGGGCTGCCATGAGTCGCCGGCGATGGCGTAGGCTGCAGTGGGGCTGGCCGGCAGCTGGCGTGAGCTTTCATGAGCTGCTGTGAGCAGCCATCCAATGGCTGACAAGTGACTGCCTCCCCCGGGAAGAGCGCAATGATAATACCAACATGGGCCAGTGAAGCGATGTCCTCCACAACTAGACTAAAGAACAATAGGACAGCAACTTGTCTGTTCCCCATCCCCCCAATTCCCCAATGCTGTTTCCCTCCCCCAATAAAATCTTTAAAAAAAAAAGAACAGAAGGTTATCTACAAAAATAATGAGGTTTTATAGGTGACTAAACATTGAGTTTCTTTTTTATACTTTTCTGTCTTTTCCAATTTTTGTGTAATACATATATTCATTACAACTAGGAAAATGTTTGTTTTTTTTTAAAGATTTTTATTGGGGAATTGGGGGATGGGAACAGTGCTGGGGAATTGGGGGAAGGGGAACAGACAAGTTGCTGTCGTTTTTGTTCTTCAGTCTAGTTGTGGAGGACGTTGCTTCACTGGCCCAAGTTGGCACCATTATTGTGCTCTTCCCGGGTGAGGCAGATCAGTCGCCGGCTTCTGGACAGCCGCTCACTGCGGCTGCTGGCCGCTCACTCTGGCTGCTGGCTACACACGGTAGCCCATGGCAACCCACTGCCACAGGGACTGCAGCCTATGCCGTAGTCGGCGATTCATGGCAGCCCAGCTCCAGGTTGAGCTGTTGTTCAGCATCTTAGCTGTAGAGGGCAGTGTCACTGGCCCTCATATGTGGGATCCGAACCGGGGTCCTCTGGTGTCCCAAGCCAGTGCTTAACCATCGCGCCACTCGGCCGGCCCGGAAAATGTTTTTAAATAATAAACAGAAGGTAGACACTTTTAAAAATGTTTTAAAAACCTTACATTGGCCCCAGAGAAGACCTTTAATCTATTTTCTGTTCATCCTCTCTTCTCCGATGGGGCACTCAGCTGTGATCACAATACAACGAATCACTGGGTTGGAAGCCTTGGCTGGTGTTTCCTTTGATTCTAGACTTGAGGGGCTGTGGCTGTGGTTGCAAAACCTCCACTGACAATCTGATCCAGAGATCTAAAGCCTTGAATAGAGATCGTCCCTCATCCTAGTAGGAAATAATGAAACCTTCTAACCTTAGAGTCCTTTAGAACGAATGTATATACACATGTAAGCCTGGAGTGTGCCTGTGGCCCTTCGCATTTTACACGGTTCGTTTGGATCTAATCCTCACAATAACATGGATGAGCAGATGGTGATACCATCCTTAAATTACAGACAGGGAAGGGGCTGGCCCCAGATCCTGTGGTGAGAACCAGAATTTGAACTTAGATCTTCTGACCTAGGTCCTTCTCCTGCATCACTGAGTCCAACATGGGAGCAAGGACTCAATCTTGATGAGTATAGGGTGCTCCTCCTATGGGCCGGCCCTTCCTGGGCTGGGCAAATGAGCCTGTGTTCCCGTTAGAGCAAGTGGTGCTGGGCAGGGGCTCATCAAGGGAGCTGGGCTGGGCACTGCGAGCCAAGGAGGACGACAACATTCAACCTCCCAAGACATGAAAAGCTGACCAATGGCCACAACGCTGAGCTCAGATTTCAAAACAGCCCTCTATACCTTCAAACCAGATGCCGACTTAGACTCTGCTAAGTCTCATTCTCTCTCACTCTTGTCCCTCCCTTTGCCCTTCCATCATTTCAATGAATGATGCTTGTGAACATTTTTGCGCCCCACTATATCATAAGTTTTGTTAAGGGTAAAGATCAGGTCTCATTTTCTTCAGTATCATCCTATTACCTAATGTGTGGTAGCTGTGTTTAAACAGTGTTAGTTGAAGCTAAGACAGAATCAAAGCCAGAAATTGTCCTGAGAAGCAGGAGTGACAATGTGGTGACTGGGATATGGAGATGAAGATGGACTCAGCAGCAGAATGCTTCGGCAGGGCCTGTCATTGAAGCCGCTTCTGGGGGTGTGGCTGATCAGGGTCAGAGGCTCAGACCTACAGATCCAGAAGTTTCTTGGTTTAAGAACTAGTAAGTCTGAGAACTGCCCATGTGGGCCTCATCCTGATGCATCAAGAATGTTCTATGGGCTAAGAATATAAAATGGGAAGTGAACAAACTTGTCTCCTGGGGAAAGATACATAGATATGCTTACTTATGTTCTTCTTTTCCTTGTTTTTTAGTACTTCCTGATTTCTCCCACAAAGAGCTTCATTATGTCTGCTAATGGGACCCTCTTCTCCACCACAGAATTTGACTTTGAAGCAGGAAACAACAGGTAGCCTTTGCCAATGACCTTGCTTGAAGTTCCATTTATCTGAGGGTCAAGGTGCAGGCATAGGTGCAGCCTGAGGGCAACTAGGGGGGTCCGGAGCAGTTTGCTGCCTTCCTGCCAAGTTCAGAGGCTGTGAGCCCTAACAGGGAACAGGGAATAAGGCAGTTATCTGGGAGGCCGCCTTCCTCACCCCAAATCTATCTCCAAATAATAAGAGTGAAGGTGTGGGAGAGGGGTCCCAAAGCATCTAGGGGTCTGCCCCAGGCGCCCTGCTGGCTTGGGAGAGGCAGCTGTCAGCGCTGTTTGCTAACATGAAAGCAGCAGGGTGGAGGTGAGCAGGCCTCTGAGAAAACATGTGGGCAGAGTCCAGGGTCTGAGAGTGAAAACACACAGGACTTGGGCTGGCCGAGTTGCACGTTGGGTAAGAGTTGGCTTGGGACGCCAGCTCTGAGTAGCAGAGCCCCGGTTCAGATCCCACATGAGGGCCAGTGATGCTGCACCCTCTACAGCTAAGATGGTGAACAACAGCTCAACCTGGAGCTGGGCTGCCGTGAGTCGCTGGCAAGCTGCCATAAGCTACTGTGAGTGGCCAGCAGCCAGCGTGAGCTGCCAAGAACCTCCGTGAGTGGCTCTCCAGTGGCCAGCGACCCATCTGCCTGACCTGGGAAGAGCGCAATGATCACAATACCAACATGGGTCAGTGAAGCGACATCCTCCACAACTAGACTGAAGAACAAAAGGACAGCAACTTGTCTGTTCCCCTTCCTCGATTCCCCAATGCTGTTCCTCTCCCCCCCAATTCCCCAATAAAATCTTAAAAAGAACAAAAAAACAAAAAATCACAGGCCTTGGGGTCAACCCAGGTTTGCCTCTTGGCTCTGCACCAGGTGTGAGAACCTGGGCTACTTAATCCATGGGAGACTCTGTTTCCTCACGTGGGCGCAATACACACTTTGCAGGGATGTTGCAAGGAACGATGAAGACAGAGTGTGCACACGGGTAGCCTGCTGGTGAGGTGGTGGCTGTGAATGAGAACTACAGGATGAGAGGCCTTTTGAGCTTCTTTTGCTTGGCCTGCTCCAAACTCTTTGGAATGTAATTTCTCTTCTAATAATGGGCCCTTGAGCCATTCTATACTGCTTGGGCCCACTTCTATTTCTTTGAAGTGTACTATCTCTTCTAATAAACTAGTTTTTCACTTAAAACAAAAAAAGAACTACATGATGAGAAATGCGAGAGTGGGTTTCTAGAGACGAGGAAATAAGGGTAGACATAGAAGCTCTGACTGCGGGAGCATCTGAAGGGGTTGCCAGAAAGCGACAGACCTCTCTCCTCCCACCTCGTCTTTCCCCACCCCAATTTGAGGTAGTGTCGGCAAAGCTTAATTCCCTCACTTGGGATGTTTCCTGACAGTTACCATCTCACTGTGGAAGTGAGAGACAGCCAAGGGCTCAGAGTGTCCACATCCCTGGAGGTGAACATTGTGAACATCAACGATGAAACCCCGCGCTTTACCAGGTAGGCTTGGGGGGCAGTCAGGGCTCCACAGGCTGCAGGCACATCTCCCTCAGGTGGCTGAGCCTCCTCAGACACATTTAATACAAGGCAGAGGGGTGCCCTGCTCTGGCTTGGAGGAGAGGTAAGAGGCCCGAGATCTTCAGCATCCTTTACCTGGGCCTCTGGACTTCCATTTTCTATCGCTGCTCCCCCTGCCTCTGCACCTCCACATTCACATGCACCACAGGGTTGTGGGTACAGTGGGAAGGGGATAGGGCCAGACGTGATGCCCCTGGTGGGAGGCTTGCCACTGGGCTTATGGAAAAGGTAAATACAGTAGTCCCCTCTTAGCCACAGTTTTGCTTTTCATGGTTTCTGTTACCCGGGTCAACTGCTGTCCAAAAATATTAAATGGAAGATTCCAGAAATAAAACATTCATAAGTTTTCAATTGCACATGATTCTGAGTAGCATGATGAAATTTCACGATGTCTGCTCCATCCCATCTGGATCAGAATCATCCTTGTCCAGCGTCTCCATGCTGTATATGATCCCCTCCCCACTTAGTCACTTAGTAATTGTCTGGATTATCAGATCAACTATCGAGGTATCTCAGTGCTTGTGTTCAAATAACCCTTATTTTACTTAATAATGGCCCCAAAGCCAAGAGTAGTGATGATGGCAATTTTGGATATGCCAAAGAGGAGCTGTAAAGTGCTTCCTTTAAGTAAAAAGGTGAAAGTTCTTGACTTAATAAGGAAAGAAAAAAAAATGGTATGCTAAGGTTGTTAAGATCCATGGTGGAAACAAATCTATCCATGAAATTGCCTAATTTACAATTACACTTTATCACAGGTATTTATGTATAGGAAAAACAGTGTATGTAGGGTTTGATATTATCTGTGGGGATCTTGGAATGTATTCCCCATGGATAAGGGAAGACTACTGTATAAGGCAGGTACTTTTATAATAGAGTGCTCAATTCTAATAATGGCAGAATCCTGGCGCTACATCTTCAGTCAAGACTCCGTACAGCCCACCGTTAGAGTGTCACCCTCTCTGAGTGAGGAGAGGGCTGTTTCAGTGGTGCCTCCGGGCCTGCCCTGCTGGGTGCTTTAAGTTCCTTCCTGCCATGGTGCACCCAGTAAAGAGGTCTGGCTGTGTCTGGCAGCTCCTGCGTCAAGCAGAGGTGAGGAAGGTAAGTGAATTTGGTGGAGGCAGCCTGTGGGAACGTGCCAGGGACTAGCCTAGGCACAAAGGGGAGATCTGAGCCTGTCAGAGTTGGGGATTTAGAAGGGAAGATGGGATTCTGAGCTGGCAAGCATATAACCCTGCAAACAGCCTGGCTCACTGGACAAGGCTCTGCCTGCCTCAGTCGCTGAGGTGGGCTCAGGTGTCAGCCACAAGGAAACTGGCACAGCCACCTGCCTGGGGTCTTAACTGCATTAAAGGCTCTGAATAATTCAGCCTAGGAAACTCCACAACAATAAGCCCCTGGGCTCCAGAACTATGCAGAATGCTTGCAAAAGTATCCTGTGATTGGGCGGTCTGAAGGCCACCCATTCCCAGGCTAACCTGAGCCATTTGGCAAAACACAGCACAGTTGCGAAACTTCTGGTTTTCACCATGGTTTGCAGCCCACCTGCTGGGTATTGATGTAGAGGGAACAGCAGCAGATCCATCCCCGTGTGATGTTTCCCACCAATGCCTGTTGCACGTTAAGTTCAGAAGGATGATGCAGTGCGTTGCTGCTAAGTCCTTCCAGAAGCACAGTCCAGGCCATTTATAAATCGTTGTGACATCTCAGCCTGGATTCAAACAAAAGTCTTGGCCCACTCAGCACTGTGGCTTCATCTGCAGTCCCCAGAGGAAGGTGATGCCTGTGGGGCTGGAGCCGATGTGTTCGGCAGTGCTCTCCTTACACCCCCAGTCTGTGAGGACGGAAAGCAGGCTGGTGAGCTTGCAAATGGGAAAACGATTTCTCCCAAGAGGCAGAACTTGTAGACCACCTGGTTTGGACTATATCTTCCAAAATAAAGCAATTGACCTCAGCAGAAAGAGAGCGTGACCTTGGCTGGTTGTTGGGACCCCACAGATCAGTCTGGAACTCTGGTTCTCATTTTTGGTTTGAGAGATGAAACGGTTAGGCTCCATTCTAGACAGAGAGCATGACCTATGTGACTGTCCCACCATTTTTTAAACTAACGGTCTGTTTCAAACAGCGCTGCATGAATGTTGGCAGGGATGGGTCTGAGAGAGCCTGTGCTCTAGAAGGAGGGTTGGGGGCAGCATGGCTGCTCTGACATTGCCCAGGTTGCTCAGTCAGAGTCAGCCTAGTCCCTCAGCCATCGCCATTTGAAAGAGTTGGCTCAGCATCTTTCAAGGCTGACTTTGAGGGCTTTCATGGTTCCCTTGAACCATGATCCTTCTTTTTCCCAAAATCAGTGCTAAGACTAACCATCAATTGTTTAATTCAGGATTAACAAAATTAAATCCTCCAACTGACCCAAGTATATTGCGTTAGAGTGTAAAGTAGAAATATAAAATGTGGAAACAACTCTTCTATCTTTACTATTCGCTAAGGTCCCGCAATTACTACAACCAAAGCAAGTCCTATTTTTGTTGTTGAAAATGTCTCACCTTTTTATCCCTGGGTGGTGACAAACATCTGAGCGCTTTATGGACTCGTGAAGTGCACTCTAGTATTCTGCTATTACTCAAGTTGAGTGCTTGATTATAGAAGTACTAGACTTGTATTTGCTCTCTATATGACAAGCACAAGGCTTGCTGGGTTTTGCAGAGCACTTTTTTTAGAGTTGGGTAGGTAGGTCTTTATCTCCTTCTGCCCGTTTCTTTTGTATTTACTCACAGTCCTTTTCAACCCGGTGCCTGGCAGTGTACACACACCTTATGCACTTACTGAATACTCATTCATAGTGATAAAGTCACCAAAGTACCCCAGAATTCACCTCCTTTTCCATGAGCATGGCCACTGGCCCTTGTCTACCCACCTCCCAGGCTCTAGAGATGCTGTGTCATGGAGAAGAAAGTACAGAGCTTTACCCTGTTGGGTGGCTGCAAGGCCCCTGGCTTCACTGTGCTTTGAATAGATCTTAACTGTGGTCTGAGGGTAACACCTTTATGTTAAGTGATATTTTATTCATACTTGGGTCTTATAACCCCAAAACAAAGATTTTTATCTTCGGCCAGGCTCAATGTCAGGTCCGCCAAGGGGAGAATGTGTTACCTGAGGAGCTGCGCCTTCACCAATATCCTGACCAGTCAAGGAACCTGATTTCCTGGACCTTCCAGCAGGCACTAGATGAGCCTGCAGAAGAAGACGACTTAAACAGCTGTACTACTGACATTTTGAGCTGGGGGGCTTCCTTGAGATTGGGGGGTTGCGCCGTGCATTGCGGGATGTTCAGCAGCAACCCTGGCCTCTACCCCCTAGATGCCAATAGCAGCCTCCTCCCCTACTTGTAACAGCCAACATAATAGCCCCCAGCTGAGAGCCACTGCCTTAGGGAATGTTGCGAGGGAGGGGATTCTCCTCCCAAGGTGTCCTGGGTCTGTCCTATGAGAGGCTAGGAGCCTGTGGTTGTCACCTCTGGTGATTCCTTCTGATAGTCCTGCTCTAACTTTAAAGTGCATATCAGTCCCCCAGGCATCTTGTGATAATGCAAACCCTGATTCCATGGGCTGGAGTGGGCCTGAGGTCTGCATCCCCAGGGAGCCTGTTAGAAATGCAGGGACCAAACTTGGAGTAGCAGGGGCAAGTCTGTGACAGGTGTCCAAGAGATCCCCTTGTTAGAGGTTAACAGAACCCACTCCAAGTAACCAAATAAAAAACATAACAGGTTAGGGCCGGCCGAGGGACTCAGTTGGTTAAGAGCTCACTCAAGAGTGTGAGCTCTGAGCAACAGGGTCACCAGTTCGATTTCCAGCCCTAAATATATATATATATATATATATATATATATATATATATATATATATATATATATATATATATATATATATATATATATATATATATAAAACAGGTTAGAAACAGGTTCTCTCAGAACATGGACATAAGGTCTCAGTCCAGCCTTAGAAGCTGGGGCCACCCCCTCTGTCCTCTGGCTCTGGTTTTGGTTCTTGCCACCCCTTCCTCCTTGGCCTCACCCACTTGTCTGTATTCCTGGACCCATCAGTGATTCCCTGAGAAGGGTATGTGTGAGGCAAGTAAATGGACTGATGGGCTGCTTCAGTGGGACTCTGGGTGGGGAGAGGCCCAGAACACCCAGGTGGCTTCTTGGTCTGAATAAGGTTACTGTCCTTCAGCAATATAATGGACCTACAGGCTGTCACTTCACGGGCAGGGGACAGGCCCCGGGTCCCGGCAGGAGCCCTGGTTGGGGAGGGCCTGGGTCCAGCCCCTCCCTGCCTGCCTCTGATGCTAGCTGCAGGTTCCCGCTCCTTTCTCCTACCTCTGGCCCCACCTGCCCTACAGGGATGATGAAAAGGAACTGCAGAAATGTTCTGAGCTCAGGAAATGAATGCCATCACTTAGATCTGAGGTGTAGTCTTCTCTCTTGAAGATCCCACATGGGAAAATCCACACTTAGGAAACTGGCAAATTAGAGGTGAATATTTCCCCCACTAAAACGATTTTCCCTCAGCAAAAGGGCTTCCTGCAGAGTTATTTTAAACAATATGCCTCCCTTAGTGCATTCAAAATTACTTAATTTACCCAAGTTGTGTAGTTAAAACTTCAAAACCTATCTATCTTATTACTGAAATTTTCCAAAGGCAGTGAAGGTCTGAGAAAGACGGTAAATTGGTGATTTGGGGTTATCTTGTAGACATCATCCTTGGAGGACTGTGTGTTGACTTTGGCTTCTGCGTGGGGGGCAGTGGGGGAGGGGCTTGTCTGTCTATTCAGAGAGCTGACCTCATGATTAATGCTACTTGGGAAGGTGCACAAGTTCTGTGCGTAAATTCTACCTCCTCAGGCAAAAAAAAAAAAAGACAAGGAAGAAATAAAAATTGAGCAAAAGCACTAGAATAAAAAAGGTTTACAATGTATCTGGCTTTCGGTGGTTGCCATGGGGTGAGACTGAGGAACCTGTACTTCTGGACATTATGTCCAAATGGATTTAAAAAATAATTTAGGGAACTTTTGTACAAGAATTGGGAGAAAGAGAAGATGGCCGGATAGACCAACTGTCCTTATTTTAAAAGATGCTACTGCTGATCTGCAACGGCATGGGGCTGGGAGGAGTCTGCGACTGGCTGATGAAAATCATCGCAGTAACAGTGTGGCACTTTCTTTGCATCCACAGGAATATAATCTTTGGAGATACAAAAGCCAGTCTCCCCTCCTTTCAGCTGCTGAGCTCTTCCTCTGAGCATGCTGATGCAACTTCAACAGCTTAGAGCTATATTTAGCATTAACCAAAATACCCATCTTCCAGACTCCACCCTCCCTGCCTCTGAAAACTAGCTGTGTCTGCTGTGTTTCTGTTCCAGTCCAACGCAAGTGTATGTGATTCCGGAGGAGCTGGGTCTGGGAACCATTGTGGCCAATATCACAGCCGAGGACCCCGACGATAAAGGTTCTACCAGCTTCCTCCTTTACAGCATTACTACTGCTAACAGCTATTTCATGATAAATCAGTGTAAGTCTATCACACACACACCGTTTAAGTGTATCCTTGATTTCAGCCAAATGAATCAGTTTTCAAATATTTTAAGTGTTTTCTGATATAGGGATGCCTTTCTGTCTAGAATATAAGTTACCAAGGTAATAGGCATAGAAAGCAGCTGGTATGGGGTTTGGGAAAAGGGTGCATGTCAACAGATATATCAATGCTTCACCGTTGAGGCAGCTTCTTGTGGAAGGACGGGTGAGTTCACCATCCTGAGGGTACCTTAAAGTCTTCTGAGGTGAGGATCCAGACTAGTATTGTCCAATAGAAATAGAATGGAAGCCACAAAAGTCATTTAAAAGTCTCTAGTAGCCACATTTTTAAAAAGTAAAAATAAACAAGTGAAATTAATTAGGCACTTTCTTTAACCTAACAGATCCAAAATATCATTTTAACATGGAGTCAATATTCAAAGGTTATTAATGATGTATTTTACATTATTATTTTTTGTACTAAGTCTTTGAAGTTTGTTGTGTATTTTCTATTTACTGTGAATATCAATTTGGACTAGCTACATTGCAAGTGCTAAGAGCCACACGTGACCAGTGGTTACTGAGCTGGACCCAGTCAACCTTGATCAATCTGCTGGAGTGCTGGGAGTTGTCTTCCCATCTAAGTGTCTCAGTGCAGAGAAGGAGAGCTTCTCCCCTCCTGTGATAGCCATCTTTTATTAGTATCGTAATACATACCAGGCTCTATGCTGAGTGACCCACGTGCATTCCATCCTAAGTACTCAGCACAGCAACCCAATGAACTACCGTAATCTGCATTTGACATCTGAGGAAACTGAGGCTTAGAGAGAGACTCAGACAGGTTACGTGGCTTGTCCAAGGCCTCGCAGCTTGTAGGTTGTAAGGCAGAGATGCAAACCAAAGCTGCCTGACTCCCAAGCCAGCCCTCTTCACCACTCCTGGACTGTACCACCTCCTACGTTCCTGTCACGTCACCGAAAAGGACTTCATTTTACACAGTGCTTTTGCAGAGGCCAGCATTGGACAATTCCAGAAAGGCAGTGTGGTGTTTGCCCCATAAGCTATAGGGCAAAGGATACCTGCTTCCAGGAGAGGCAGGCAAAGGCCATAATCACGCTTTACCTCTGAAATGTCCTAGTGTGCTGCGATCAAGGACCTCACTCAAGGGACAGTGTAGGGATGGACAACCACGGTTTAGAATCCTGTCCACTCTAGTATTGAAAAATTGAACTTTCAACAAATACAGTGTTTTGGTAGGAGCCTATTTAAGAATCCTTGGTTGCAAGTAACAGAAACTAAGGTAAGTCAAACTAAGCAAGAGGGGAAGGAAATCGTAGGGACACATGTCAACAGGATACTGGTTATCTCATGGGAATGAGAGTGGAGTCAGGGCCTAGGAAGTGTGGGCACCAGTGCTGTTCCAGTGACCTCGGCTGTTAGAGTTCTGGGCTCTTACCTGTAGCTTCAGTGTTAACCTAATTGGTTACCCAACTTGTGCCTCTCAGTTACAAATTCTCCAGGAAGGGAGCCCAGTGGGTCAGGCTGAAATCAGTTGCCTACCAATCCAGTCAACTCTGGGCATAGGCTGCTGCCAGGGTCCCAACCCTGAAGTTTGGGGTGAAAATTTTAGAAGGGTCAGGCCGGACACCCCAATCAATATCTAATATAGGAACTTAGATGAATTTTTAAAAATGTTTGAATGAGGATATTCTCTGTGTACACCAGTTCTCATTTCAGAATTTTCTCTGCAACTCTACCTGCCTTTACTCTTCATTTCTCTCCAGAGTAACGTTCTAACCTTTGCTTTCTTAGTGACTGGTTCTGTCCAAGTGGCCCACAGGCTGGACCGAGATGCAGGTGAATTAAGGCACAATCCCACCATTTCTCTGGAAGTTCTGGTGAAGGATAGACCCTTCGGGGGTCAGGAGAATCGCATGCAGATAACCTTCACGGTGGAAGACATTAATGACAACCCTGCTACTTGTACCAAGTTCACCTTCAGGTACTCACGTCCTGACACATGCTGGGCATTTCACCTCCTCCATGGTCCTTGGTCCTTTAGCCTATCTGGCTCTTCTCTGGTGAAACTGGAGAATTATGGGCATTGGGGCATGGCTCATGAAAACAAGTAGATTTGAACTGTCCATTGTAATTGATAAGTTTTTCCTTACATCATCCTTTTTTTTCTTCTCTCTCTCATTTTCTTTCCTCTTTGTTGTCTCCCTTCTCCACTTTCTTACTCTGTTAAAAATATTTTTATTTTACTCTTTTCTAAAACATGTTCATCTCCGTTAGTGTGAAGTACCACGGGGACTTGCCAGACCCTCTCTGGGATGTGCTTTCCTTTATTTATTGCCGCTGGTGGCAAGACAGCACTGTTAGCAGTGATAATAGAAACTTGGGACTTAGGATTAGTAACTAGGAGATCCCAGAAAAACATGCCACCAGTAATATGAATAAATCAAACCAAATATTTATTTGAAAGAAAACAAAGCATCTAATTCACCTTATACAACTTAATTGCATGTAAACAAAAGGCAACGGAAATGGGGGTGGGGGTGAGAATGCAGATACAAGTGGGATGCAGTTACTTTTTCTTTTTTTTT